AATTTTGGGAAACCCCCAAATTCTCTCAGGAAGAAGATGCAGCAATCCTGGTGAGGAGAAAAGCGTTTGCACTTTGAAAATGCAGGGCATGACGCATGTGTGCAGTGAGGACCTTTCGGCCTTCACTAGCTTTACACCCAATGCTCCAGCCTCATAGAGATCCATGCGCCGGAAAAGGTAGGGCTTCAAAAGCAGTATGCGCAGGTTTGATTCTTTCCGCAAGGATTTAAGTGAGAAGGGCGCCTTTTGTGAATAGAGAGCATCCACCCTATCCCAAAGGTTGCAAGTACCCATACAGGATACACCTGGGCCGAAGAGTACGTACATTGGAACGGCTCAAGCTCCAAGGAAGATCCTATGTGGGCTGTGATGTGAGCTTTTGATTGCCCTAAAACTAAAAGCCTAAAAAAGATCCCTTAGCTGTCAGGCAATACTTTTTCCACAGATGCTGCTTCTGACGCTGGTGGTAGCCTGGGCTGACTCAATTTTGGGCCCTCGCGTTTGGACGCTCTGCTCACGGTTAAGGTTTATGATCTGGCGGCTTTGGCTTTAATGACTTGAGTTGGGGGTTAGACTTTAGAGGCATTCCTTTGTGCTTGAGGAGAATATTGGGAACTTGACATGGGGACGCCGTAAAGAAGCATGTAACCTACGTGCCGAACACAAAAATCGCAGCACCCTTCCCAACCCAAAAGTATGAAAAGGTTTATTTAGGGTTTGGTTTTTATGGACCTTGCTTCGTGCTGCGTCTATTCGATTGCTGCAAGCATCAGAACTGTCATTGCCCTCGTATTTACGCATTTCTCACTGGGAGAAACAAGCCTTCCTCTTGTGCCCAGTATTTGAAGTATGTAAGACTTACTACTGTATTCTTGTTACATGTCCTCCCCATAAACCCTAAAACCTAAACCCCTTGTACCCTACCCCCTACAACCTAAACCCTAACCCCTCAACCCTAAACTGTAATATTAGGGGGCAAGGATTGAGAAGAAGTCTGTTTTAGCAAGCTCCCGAGCCTTCTCGCGGCAGAACTTGTGGGAACTGCTGAATGAGTCCCCTGGATCAAAAGCTACAATCTCCCTCTATATTATAGTATATTACGGTGGCAAACGCATAAAGTTGAACTTCTCTCCCCTAACAATGAGTCCGCGACCCCCTAATAGCAAACTCCAAAAACCATACCATCGCGTAGTTGGGGAAGATGCATTCGAGACAACATAATTCACTTCAAGAAAAGAGCCCAAACTAGAACCTGTAGAAACTATTGGTACGTGCTCATTCTATTCAGGCCCCATGTAATGTTTACAACCCTAAACCATAAACCTTAAAACCTCTAAGAATCCCAACCGTTGAGGCTAGCCTGCGGATGCCTTTGCACTGGCGTGGTTCTCATGGCTACAGGGCTGGTGTCCTGGCAGCTCTCAGGGGAGAATGGGTTCTGAAAAATTGGGGCTTTAGAGTTTAAGTTTTAGGGTTTTAGGGTTTGAGGGTTTAAGTTCTAAGTTTTAGGGTTTGGATGGAGGCTTCCAAAAATTGCAGTCCTGTTACAAGTCCGTCCAACACGTTGAAGTCTCCATGAGGGAAATAACCCAGGTAGGTCTAGCAGCAGCCGCTTGCCGGAATCGCCACCGTGAAGCCTGCGAACACCCTGGTTTCCTCAACCCTGAATCCTCAGCCCTACAGCCTAAACCCTAAACCATCACCCTACACCGTAAACCCTAAGCCTAACCCTCAACCCTAAACCATCAACCCTACAACCCAAACCCTAAACCCTAAGCTTTAATGTAGACCCATGATTAATAAACCCCCTCCCCTTAATAAGGATTATAGTAGGGATCCTAATATGAAGGCCCTTAAAAGGAGGGGGTTTATTAACCATGGGTCTACATTATACCCCAAACCCTAAACCCTAAATGGTAGCTTCCATTTTCTTTTCCATTATCACAATATAACCCCAATATAGCCCCAATATTTCCCCACTGGGTAACTGTATAACCGTAAACCCTAAACCCTAATCTACATTAGGTGTCATCAACTGTCACTGCCGCAGCCTATGCAGCAAACGCGCTTTTTGGGATTGTGGCCGTTCTCCCCCAGGCAAGCTCCCATCGGGTTCCCTTCTTTGAAGAGTTGTTAGGGTTTAGGGTGTCGGGTTTAAAGGTTCAGAGTTCAGGGTTTAAGGGTTTAGGATTTGAAGGTTTAGGGTTTAAGGCTCCCTTCTTTTGAGAGTTCCTAGGTTTAGGGTTTTAGGGTGGCAAAAGGCGACCCCAACTTACTTTGGACATGCAACAAAATTGGGCATTGTGTCAAGTTGACATTCTTATATGTGATTGGGCCCCCTATTTTGGAGCTGCTCGAAAAACACAAAGCATGAACCTCAGGAGTGTGCTTTTGTCAGCTGCTTAGCTTGACGGATATTAAAAAAACCTTACACCCTAAACCTTAAACAAGCTCGATGATCTTCTATGGGGAACGTACAATATGGGGGTGGGTGTGTGGGGGGGGCAGGGGGGTGGTAGAGTCCCCCTTAACTAGATAGAATAGGGGGTATATGGCGATCCTATTATGACATACCCAAAGCCATATTCTATCTACTTAGGGGGACTATACCTTTCGCAGGTCCCAAATAACAAGGCTCATAGTTTTGAGGGTTCTATATTGGAGTCCCCCTTTTTGGGAAAACTATCAGATATCTTGTACATATTCATGTGTCAATGGTCTGTTTCAAACGTTGCGCCAGATAAGCAAATGTGCACCCTGCGCCCCCCTGGTTTGGCAAACTGCCATACCAAGATGTTTAGGGTTTAGGGTTTAGGGTTTGGGGTTTAGGGTTTAGGGTTTAGGGTTTAGGGGTGAGTTCCCGAGTGAGTTATGTTTTAGGAGGACCCCCCACCCTGTAATAGTGACTAAGGGATAATAGGGTCCTGTTGTATTCCTACTATACCACTATTACAGGGTGGGGGGTCCTCCTAAGTTATGTTTAAGGTGGTCAACTCCCAAAAACCCTGCATGACCTCACCATGTGCAATAATTTTCAAGGTATAAGGTGCTTACCGTTCATGAAGTATTTTGGGCATCCACCGTAGAGGTGCCTACTGCATGCCCAGCAATTTGGTCTAAACCCTAAACCCTGAACGAATTGCCGGCCCGGCTCAAGGATTCAGGGTTTAGGCTTTTCGGTTTAGGGTTTGGGGTCTAGGGCTTAGGGTTTCTGATTGTTCAGGCTTCTTCAGGAGATTGCATGCACCGGCACACGTCCTAAGCTCCGTCCGCAAGGAACAACTGCTCATTCAAAAGTTGTTCCATGCAGCCCGCAGATGTAAGATGTGGATTTGGGGCGTTCATAGGGTTTCGTCCCACACCGATTTGGAGACCAAATGGGCCGCATACATAGGCGACCATTGATGTTGTGAATCCCCCTGGTAAATAAACACCTCCCAAGCCCCAAATGAAAAACCTTCTCCCAATAATATGACGCTTCTTTTAGTATGTTTGATCTTTACGGTTGTGTGCTCTTAAATGAGGGAATGGGATTGATCAGTAGGATCTTCAGGGTGGTCGCTTTATATGGCCCGCCACTTCATGCAGCACGGGATGAAGGCATGGATAATGTATGCGAAAGAGCAGCCAGAAAGCGTATAGTCAGGAGGAAACCCCAGAAGTAGGTAAAACAGTATCCCAAAGCTGGAGCGAGCCTAGGGGATTGTAGGGAGGCTCCCTTGTTAAGTCCTTTAAGGCGTCTGACTGCGCTTCGGATCGACAAGCCGAACCTGTAGTCTTTTTGATTGCTACGGTAGATACTAAAAGTCCTGCACGACCCCAGGTACCTCATAACCCTGGAAATCATGGTGCCATAGTACCATAGTATGCGAAGGCCATGCAGGAATTACAGTATCAACAGTATTCCCATCACTGCTTCTGTGCAAGCTACCCTTACTAGTACATCTAGTTCCAGGACTTCATTCTGGGGTTTTGGAATTCCCTGAAGCGCACAACCTCCTAATCTAAACCCATTCCCGGAACTCCAAACTCTTCTCCCTGCTACACTGCGGTGGAGGTGGTGATCAACTACAGGAACAAGTGGATAGCCTCAGGTCTTGTGTGGATTATCCTTTAAGTTTGGGTCCCTGTGAAGCTCGAGCCCTTGTGTTCGTTTTTCTCCCTCTAATCCCTACACTTTAAAGCCTACTTCTGAAGACTTCTCTGTGTCAAGGTGTTTCAGGGCAAAGAGACTGAAGGACCCACCTTAATGTAGCCTTGCCTGAGCCCTACATGGACATCCTAAATACCTCTAACAACAGCAACCCCAAAATGACCGGTAGCTTTGTAAGGTATATAGGCTACTCTTCCCAATGCTTAGGAGGTCCAGGTAAGCCCACACCCTAAACTTGCTTCGGCTGGAAGAAGCAATCTCAAGGGCCGCAGGGAAACATGTCTGTTGGGGTCTAGGGTTTGGGGTTTGGGCGCATTGGAGCTTGACATGGGCCATAGGTTGATAATGTGTTAAAGTTGATGATTCGCTTCCTAATAGGACCCCATCATCTGCTCATGGAAAGGGCGGGGGGTATGACAAAATTGTGGCCCCGTTTTGGGTGCCCTGAATATGATGGGCCGTATTCTGTTAGTCACCCACAAAGCGACCATGACTTTGACAACCTACCCAATGTCCCCTTAACGCTAAACTCTCGTGCCTGCTGAGTGCGATGCGCATGCCTAAACCCATATATATCCTTATATACCCCCAATATATCTCCAATAACTCCTTTTAACAGATCCGCTGGGCTTCCAGGGTGCCCCCTACATTTAGCCCCATCCTACACCCCAAAAGTATGTAAAATAATAGCCCTAAACCCTTCATAATAGCCATAAAGGCCATTATTTTACAGACTTTTGGGGTCCAAGATGTGGCTTTTTCTGCTTTGCGGGCGTAGTTCGGGGGTGAGCTCGGGTGCTGTGGCGGGGGCAGGGGCCAGGCTAAAGGGTTTAGGGTTTAGGGTTTAGGAGGCTGGTGGTAAGCCCTGCCCGCTATAAAAGAGGATCCTACAAAAGTTATATCCGAAATCCTGGTATTACTTATAGTTCTAGGATTTTTGCCTTAGGGTTTAGACAATAGTATGGGATAAAGGTGGTTGACAGGTGGCGACTCAACCATAGCCTTTGTTAATTACAGCGCTTGCTGTTTCGAACTGCACCAGCATAGGTTTTACAGCAAAAAACACTCAACTGGAAGTATGTAGAGTGACCAACATACATATACATGAAGAGATAAGTGGCTAGCACTTTGCTATCTTTGTTTTTTCTAGGTCTAACGTTGCCCTACGCAGAGGTTTGTGGCGGGGAGTTCTTTGCAGTCCTGGTGTGTCTTCAGAAGGTCCAGAATATGAGATGGACGACGGGAAAGATGGATTCTTTGTTTAGGGTGTTTAGGGTTTAGTACGCGTAAATGCTCACATACACACAAGCACATATGTATATGTATATGTATATATATGTATTAATATTAAAGTTGATATTAGCCACGTGTCAGGAGCATATGCGGATCCTAAACGCTAAACCCTAAATGCAGAACTTGGACCCTAAACCTGACCTTCGGCTTCTCCTGGAGTCTGGAGGATCTCCTGACTTCGTAAGTCTAAGTCGACTGGGATAGCAGGCAGACTTACTAAGTCAAAAGATCAACCAAGCTAGGTATAAAGCCGAGGTCTACTGGACAGCTTTCGTTCCTGGTCACTGCCATGACCTTTGGAGGGCCTCTTGGCATTTACCTGGCCTTTGATTTGCTAGGAATGAAGGAATGGAAAAGAAAATGGAAACTATTATAATGGGTTATATGGGGACTACTATTAGGATCCATTCCTTCATTCCTAGCTAACCAAAGGCCAGTTGTTGCCCCCTAAGGGGTCCAAGAAATGGAAACCTCCAAAGTGACCGCAGTACTACATTGGGGAAACTAAGGGATTATTGGGAGGTTCCATGTTTTGGATCCTTTAGGAGGTCTGGATTAGCACCGAAGAAAGTCACGAAGCTACATTGCTGCTACATATTCAGCTGATCATATGATATACCATACTATACCAGTATCCCTTGAAGCTCGAAGTTCTAGAAGTCTTAGAAACCATAACCCCAAGATTACCTAAGACTATGGTCCAGCTTGGACGCTGGATAGAGTCGTGGTGCGAGCCGGGACAAGCAGGATCAAACGATGAGATGCAGATCAACATTTGCCCATCAAAACGTGGTAACGGCGTGGCTCGCAACCGCACAGCCGCAGCGCATGTGTGTTCAAGGTGCTGGAATGGACAACGTAGGTCTTTGCAGAGTTTTTGCAGGCATCACATCTGGAATCGCCCAGAAGCAGTGCTCAACAATATTGTTTTGCGACCGCATCGAATTCCGAATGGTAGAAACCATTGACAGGCGTGTGGGATTCAGACACCAGTACAAAGTGTGCTCCAAGCAGAAATGCATTCAAATTATGCGGTTGGCCTTCTTCACATGAGTTTTCAAAGCCTTCCACAGGCCTGGGCCGTTCTTACGGCACCACTCAAAATTGTGGACGTATTACAAGATGCCGGGATTCACCTCTCCTGCATTCTTTGAATGCAGACTCTTGGGCAAAAACCGCTTGAGGAATGTCCAACAGACGTCAAGGAATTGGGTTCCTGTGCTCTTGCTCTCCCACACGGAAACAAGCCGGAAGCAGGGCAAGTGAGCCACAACCTCTACACGCGAGAAGCGAAGCAGATTGTGCAATCTGTCAGCGCGCGCCAAGCAACTCCCACAGTTTTATTGCTGGCGCAGGACGCAAGCGGGCTACATGGCACAGCTTACAAAAGTGAATGAAAAGACCTGTTTTGAAGATGGCTGCTCTGATTGAATCTTTGTGCTTGAGAAGAAAAAGATGCGCTCAGAAGCAAGCCTGTTACAGATACTGTCTTGGAAAACGTAAGGCACCGAACGAAATTATCCTCCCCCCACCCCCCAACCAACCCCAGTATAAGTGCCTTGAGAATCTCAACAACAGCAAAAAAAACCTTGCGGTCATGGGGAACGCCGTTAGCCAAAACGTGCAGGGCACCAGCGTCTACAAACACAAAGCTGCGCATATAGGATCCTTCCTAAACCCTGAACCCTAAAATCCAAAACCCTAAACCCCTAAACCCTAAATCCTTCTAGGATCATCTGGACGGGTTCTTTGTTAGAATTTCCGAACCACAACAAAAGCATCGCCCAAGCAAGCACTCCTCTGCTCTAGAAAAGAAAGAGTCCGACAGATCCAAGCCTAAGATCCCGGGTTTAGGGAATTGGGGTTTAGGGTTTGGGGCTTAGGAGTTTAGGGACTTAGGGTTTAGGGAACTAGGATTTATAGGGTTTAGGGATTTTAAGGGTTCAGGGAATCCCGAACCCCAGTAATATGGGTATATAGTAGATAATTGATATGGTTTGCTTATTCTAGTAACTAAATCTAAGTTCCCTGAACAGCAACCCAGACAATCGAAAACGGCGCCGCTCAAGCACTGAAATGGTAACATCGCTTGGCTAGCCTTATCATTCACTCCTTGCAAAGATTCTACAGAGCCTCTGGAAAATTCCGGGTTCCTTTTTGAAGGTTCCCACAGTAGTAGGGCCTCTTGTGTTTTTTGGGGACATAGATGTTGTGTATTTTGAGAAGTGTAAGCCCTGACCCTGGCTTGCCCCGGCTGTGGCGAAGGATGGGGGCGCGGTTGTAGCTTGGCTGCTGATATTCAGGGGAAGTGGTGGAGTTCTTGTTTAAAACTGCAAGCCCTAGAATGTTCATTGGGTCTGGGCTTTGGCTTTCATAGGTTTATATGGGTGAAGGACGGGGTTTGGGTTGTCGCGATTGCGGGCTCAGGTTTGGGGTGGTGACGATTCACATGTCAGTCCAATGGAGATAAGGTTCTGGTTACAAACTCCATTGACGTTCCTTCTCCTACAGCTTCTACAGGTGTGGTTCAAAACAAAGCTTTGTTTAGGAAGCCTTTCTTAGGCACAGCCACAGCGACCCTAGACATCACAGTTTGCACAGGTTTCCAGCGGTTTGTTTCACCAGCCTGCCCTCGCAACATGGCACAACTCCCAGGCCGAAATTCCAGCAGCAAAAGCAAGCACAACAATAACAGGAACAGCAATGATTTGCGACGCCGCAGGTCTTAAACTGTCATATTCCTTATGCACCAAAGTCAACCGTAGAAGCCAAAACATCTTGAGCCTGAACGATTTAAGTGAGCACTTTTAGTTTACAGCGCTCATGAGTCTACGAACGTTCTAGGTACACCACGTTCGTGGAAGTGGATGATGTGGCCTTGCGTACGACCATGCAACTTGGGTTCACTTGATGCGAACTATCCGCTTGATATGCAAGGGCCCAACGAGGCAGATCCAGACTTTCAGGAAAATGCTTACCGGTTTTTTAGCAGGCTTCCAGTAGCGGCTCCTGATGATTCAGGCTTTACATTATTGAGGGCTTGCTGTCAAGTCCCACTGGGCAGACATGTTGCTTTCTGAATTTGTCCGGACAAGAAAGCGTAAGCCGACTTTTTTCAGGTAGAGCTTTCAATGCCTTAGGCCATAGGCATATGGCTACCATTCGATTTTCCAATGATAGGGGACAGAAAGGGCCTTCTATGGAAGAAGAACAGCCCCGCAATGGAAGAAGACTCTGCTGCTGACTTGCAACCTTACGGAAACGCGACCAGCCATTGTGTCAGGTTAGGGTTTACTTGGAGGATCTCTTGACTTAGTAACTCTACTTAGTAACTTGGGTTATAGGGCTTCTAATAGGGGTTATGAGGGCTAGTAGGTGGATTTACCAAGTCAGAGGATCATCCAAGTACGGATTAAGGCCGTAAACCCTAAACCCTAAACCCTAAGCCCCTGTGGTAATGTTGAACAAGCGGTCAGAGCAGAGTGCTGCTTGACCTGGTGGAGCTCCCGAAGGCCCGCTGCAAAGGGTGGTAAGTTTGGATCGAGCTCACGACTCACGACATTAAACCCTAAACCCTCAACCCTAAACTAGTAATTTCCATGTTCTTCTCCATTATCCCTATATAACCCCCTAGAAATCCCTTTAAAAGGCACCTTATCACTATATAACCCCTAGAAACCCCATTAAAATCCTTAAGCCTACGCCCTGCATGCTGGGCGGATGCGTAAAAACCCTGCTGTGCTGAGGTTGGTCAACTTCACCCTTGTCTCCACGCTGATGATGTCCTCCGGCTAGCCTGGGTGTGTTTAGGGTTTAGGATGTCCTTGGGCTAACCTGGGTTGCTGTTGAGGAACTTAAAAGGGATATTGGTGTATGAAATCGGGTTTAGGGTTTAGGCGTATTATCCCCCTATAATGGAGAATCAGCTGGAAAAGAAAATGGAAAATGAAATGGACAATGGTGTAATATGGGGAGTTCAGGAACCCTATTTTAGCTACATGATGTCCCTGGGCTAACTTGGGTGGGCCATGAAACAGGGTGAAGCGCATGGATATGTCTTGAAACAGGAGTATGTAACTGCATTGTGAGGGGATTATGGCGTTGCTTTTGAAACCTATAGTCCCCTTAAGTAGATAGAATATGGGGTATACGGGCATCTTTTTAAGATATGCCCAAAGCCATATTCTCTCTGCTTAAGGGGGACTATAGGTTTCAGAGGGTTCCCTTCTGAGGACATGAGGATGACAAATCAGACTCAGGGATTTCGGGAAGAAAGAGAATGGCAATTGATAGTAGTTTTGCTTGTTATAGTATTTCTAATAGGGATAGCAGCAAGTACTTTTAGTAGTACTCATAGCAATTATTGCCCTAAGCCCTAAACCTCCCTTTAGACCCCAAACCCAAAAGCCCTAAACCCTAAACCCTACACTAAACCCTAAACCCTAAACCCTAAACCCTAAACTATAGCAATAATTGATAATGCAAAAACATACGGTTGTCAAGGCTCAACCTTTCCAGGTTCAGGCTCAGTGAGAGCAGCACTTACGCAGGACCTTACTGGGGGTTTGGTTGGGGTTTAGGGGGTAGGTTAGGGTTTAGGGTTTTAGGGGCTTAGGGGTTAGGCTAGTAGGGAATAAGGGAATATGCTATCGCGATATACTCTATATATTATAATCTATGTCCTTATTCCCTACTAAGCCCAAGTAAGTTTGAAGCCTGCGTTGGCTATGCGGCTGGTTTTGCAAAACATGTTTGCGCGCAGGCACATCAAGTATGCTTGCGGAGAGGTGGAATCCAGAGATTCAATCGGCCTTCTTGAGCCACGGTAATCGCCGAGCCCTAGCACTCCGCTGAGGATGCCAATGCAAATGGAGGTTTCCCAAAATTGCAGGTACCTTCTTTGGCCCTAGACTAGAGATTATAGTATTTGTGGGTCAATAGTTTGTTTCGAACGTCGCCCCGGATACGCAGATGTGCACCCTGGCCCTGTGTGTGGGCTCGCAGTGCTCTGGCTGCCATTTTGAAAGAACCCCAACACCCATCAATCAACCACTCTCAGGGATCCACCCCATAGACCCAACAAAGCCTGAGGCCCTGGCGCAAGAGCGATTGAACTCACACCGCTCTAAAGACCTTGACCTTCAGATTCTCAACCACAACACTTGTGAGAAACTCCTGGCCCCGCGGCTCAAATCATACAAACAGCTTCAAACAAGGTACTCGCGTCTTTCGCCGCCGTGAAAGGTATGTA